GGACAGACCCCGAACTACCAGATTTTGAGTATAAAGAGTAGAATTTATAGAGCTCGCGAGTGGCGGCGCTTGTACTTCTTGAGGAATAAGTGAATGAATTGTCACATCACCCTTTGACCTCTATTTATAGTGAAAGGCGGCGGGTTTAACTTGAGTTCAGCTGACCGTGGTTGATCTGATATACCCCTGTTTTGACCAAACTCAGTTCGGATATGCCTTAGGTGTGATCAGATCGCGGTTAACAGTTGGAGTGGGCCTCTGGCAGCCCGCTGGGCTTCTCCCGAACTCGCTGGGCCTCTGCTTCTTTTGGTGATTCGCGACTTGCGATATGCTCAGAATGTTGGGCCGCAGGTCCGGGCCCAACAATTAGCCCTGCCTGTCACTCTTCATCTTTGGTTTGTACATGCATAGAGAAGCCACATACACAAGTAACAACAAAAGTGCTGCTATACCTGCACTGTCACAAATGTTAATCAGGTATTAGCAGTGGCCACACCATCTATGATTTCGACATATACCAACTTGCTTCTACAAAGTCTTTAGCAAACCCAATTACAATAATACCATAATGTTAGTAGTCTAATTCAAAATGTCCTCTTAATCATTCCTAGTAGAAGAAAACTTGAAATATCACTATATAATCCAGTAATGAGCAAATATATTTCTTTGATTCAACTTTTTTCATAGACCAAGTCAATTGGACCGAATTCAGTTGGGGAAAAAAAATTACAGTTTACCTTTGATTAGGACAGGAGCCAACAAGTCTCGGGTATCGCGACAAACACAGACTGACAGTGAAAAGGGATGAAGCAGTTATAACTCCCTAAGGGATAATTCTCTTGTAAAGAACAACAAATCTCATTTCCACAGATTCTAGCTATAACTGAAAGACCATTGAAAGAACAACAAGTGTTATTGGCTGCAAAATTCTCACGAAAATACCACTGATATCTCATCTTTTAATGGACTTTTCCTTTTTTTCCCCAGAAGAACACTTATCAACATGAGTTGGATCATGAAACCACATTTCTCCGGTTAGTTATCACACGTTCATGATGAC